ATGTTTATTGCCAGGATATTTTATTTGGGCAGAATTTGTTATCTTACATTTAAAAGAAAGTCTTGCTCTTCCTACTATATAGAATATCATCTTTCCAGGTTTCAGCTACAAATGTTAACATAGGAAGTTATACTGCCAGTTACTACTATGAGCAATTGACTTCAAATTTAGCAAATGTAGATTTTAACAAGTGGCCTTATGTCTTTTTAAACTATATTTGGGCCGGGGATTTAGCTCAGTGGTTTCACCACCTGCTGCGCAAACGCAAGGACCCGAGTTTGATCCCCATTACCAAAAAATAAAAAATAAAAAATTTAAACTATATTTGAAATTTCTATGCTCATGAAAATATTAATGGTAATTAAATTTATATTTAACTTGTTAAGTGTAAAACTATTGTCTCTATTCTATAGATAAGGAAATTGAAGTTTATTGGTCTAGATAACATATCCAAGTTCATACACTTGACAAGGGAAAGAACCTTAATATCCTGTGTATAAGACAAACACCTACTTTCATATTAGCTGGCACTTTTGAGAGTGAAGAAAGGGAACATGTGTTTTGGGCTATGGAATGGGTGGGTGGATGATTTTATACTCGGGGAAAATACATAAATTCTTTGAGTTTTTTTCCCCCCAATTTATGAAATAGGACTAATAACCCCACATGACCAAATTACTGTGTAGTTAAGTGAAATGTTTTATTTACATTTTAATTTGGACATTTATTTTTGTCAAAGGAATTTTAAAACAATGCTAGAAAAAAATATTTTCATCTATATAATAAGACTAACAGAGTCTACATACTCAAATTATTGTGTGGTTAAATGAGATGTTTTACTTATAATGCAACTTTGACACATTCTGTCAATGGGATTTTATAACAATACTAGAAAAATTTGTTTTACATTTAAATAAGTAACATTTTTCTACAAGTAATGTTTTTCTGTAAGATTATACAAAATCAATGTAAATTTTGAAATCATTTCATTTTAGTGACAAGTCTGTCCCTGGGGTATTTAATGTAAAGTAAACTTTGGCTCATAATACTTTATAACATCTTAGTTATTGAGGTTTATTATTATTATCAAAATTTTCTATTTACTATAAAGTATAACTGATCAAATGAAATCTAGCATAAACATATTTAAAAGGAAGCACATTAACGGTGTTATTTAATCCATTATTAATGAAGGAACCAGTAATATTTATAACTAGATCTGGTATAAACATTTTGATCTTAAAATCACAGTGTATAAAAGAGACTATACGATTTATATTCAAAACCTTTCTTTGTTTTGTAAGGTTTCACATAGGTTGTTTTTAAATTAAAAATAAAATACTCATTCAGTGAGGCAATTAGATATATTGCATCATGTCCTTTTATCCTGCAATGACATTAGAAGCTATGCATTTCTTCAACAGCAATTGTACAGACTAAGAAGGTGAGTTTTGATTGTCTAAGGGCACAAGCAATTAAGTGGCAGCAGCATGTACTGTATTTATCTTTTTACAATGGTTAAAGACAGGAGTATATAAGATCACATGCAGTTGGAATCGTAGTTGGGGGGGGCCTTAGGAGAAAGGTATTGACTTGGGTTTTAAGTTGTAACAAATGCAGGAGCTCACTAAGGGTTCTGTGCTGGTGGAGGAATGCGATGGGTTACTCATGCTGGCAAGTCATCTAGGAGAGGTGGGGCACACAGAAGGTGGGTAGGAATGAGCCATGGCTGTCTGTACAGAGCAAAGCTGGAGAAAGTCTGGGACATGTGCGAGGGGTAAAATTGTTAGATATTGTAATTAACTGGTAGGCAACATAAAATGTAGGGGAAATAACTATTTTGACTTTGGAAACCAAGCCTGAAATATTTAAATACAGAAAGTGGAGAGGCATTCAGAGCTAAGTGCAGCTTGGAGGTAGAGATATTGGCATTATCTGTGCAGAAGAGAAGAGGTCACTGCAGCCTTTGGATGAGAAAGGGGGAAGAAATATTAAGGAATATTTTAAAATTCCCTTTTCTCAATTGTTTGTGTAGATTTTAAGACTTGCCTTTTACTGTCTTGCCTCAAATTAGTAACTTGAATAACTCAGGCTCTTCCTAATCACTTGACCTTGGCTCTTCTTGTTTTATTTCTTCTCTCTCCACGTGGTTGGATCCTTCCCATCTCTGAGGGCTTACCTGCCTACTCAGTGAAGAACAAGTGCCCTTGTTTCTATCTCTGTGGCTGCCAGAGCACTTACCATAACAATTTTCAGTTTATTTGCTTGAATTTTGTGTCATCCACTAAGATGTAAGGTAATAAGGGCAGGAATTATGTCTGACTTGTTCATAGTTGAATCATCATAAAGGAAGGCACTTACGATTTTTGAATCAATGAATGATTAAAATGCTGATTCTGAATTCTAAAGGGCTTTCCCCTTGCTCCTGCCTTAGTTATCACCAGCTTTTCTCCAGCTAATTCCAAGCTCTTGTGATTTTCTGAACATTTTAGTCTTTTTACACCCCTGTGCTTTCTCTTATTTTCACTGCTTGAGATGTCCCATTCACATTACCTATTTAGGAAATTCTTTTATAAGCTCAAAACTTGACTTAATCATCACCCTGTCAAGAGAGTAGGCTTTAGGTGTTCCTTCTCCCACAATTGCTTTTCCAGCACTTACCACATATGACATGAAGCTGTTACATACCTATTTCCCTTGTGCACTATAGGTGCCTTGAAGTTAGGGAGTGTTACGTTCTGTTTGTGTTCCCATCAAATCCATATATTGTAATTCTAATTCCCAAAGTGATAGAATTAGGAAATAGGGCTTTAGAGGTCATTAGGTCATGAAAGTGGAGCAGTGATAGGTGAATCTGTATAAATATGCTCCGAGAGCTTACTCATCCCTTACCCTCTTTTTTCACCAGGTGAGGACACAGTGAGAAGTGTCATCTGTGAGCGTGAAGGCTGCTCCTCGACAGAAACCAAATCAGCTGGTGCTTTGATCTTGGACTTTCTTGCCCTCTAGAACAGTGAAAAAATTATGTTTTTTCTAAACCACCTATTTTATGGCCTTTTGATATAGCAACTCAAACATTAAAACAAGGATCATTCAATATTTGAGTTTATATTGTCAGCTCTAGTCAAGTACTTGGTATATGGAAGTAATGTGATAAATATTTGCTGAATGAATGAACAGCTGGATGAACAAAGGGGAGAAGGGCAGATGGAATATTAGACATAACCACCGGGATCTAGAAACATATCTAATCATCCAACTGACCTCTAACAAGTTATTTAGAATCTATAAGCACCAATATCTTCACTCGTTTGGGAAAAAATGATAGCAACTACCTCTGATCCTTGTAACATTTAAATGAAATAATATATGTTGCATTAGACAAGATTCTCAAGAGAAACAGAAACAGTAGAATTTAATTAATTAGGAGATTTTTGAGGAATTGGCTCATACAACTGAAGAGGCTTTGTGAGTCCAAAATTTGATAGGGTGGGTCAGCAGGCTGGAGACTTGGGAGAAAGTTATGGTTCAAATATGAAGTCAGTCCAATGAGGAATCAGAAAGAGCCAGTGCTTCTGATGGGGTCTGAAGGTGGGCGAATTCCTTCTTCCTTGAGGAATGACAGCATTTGTTCTAGTAAGGCGGTCAGCTGGTTGGATGAGGGCCACACACATTATAGAGGGCAGTTTCCTTTACTCAAAACTCTACTAATTTTTTTTTTTTTTTGTATCAGGTATTGAACTCGGGACCTTGTGCTTGCGAAGCAGAACCACTGAGCTAAATCCCTGGCCCCAAAACTCTACTAATTTAAATGTAAATCTCTAACCAAACTACTTTCAAAGAATCATCTAGACTAACACTTCACAGACTATCTGGGTACTGAGGTCCAGCTGAGTTTGTGATAAAATTCCCTCCCTACCACACAGATAGAACATTTTATAGCATCTTAGATATTAGTTATGAAATCCTCAGTAACCAGACTCTAGTCTGGTCCTGTGTCCCACTCAAGCAGCCATGGGTATGTGTGTGTTAGGGCTATGATTACCCTGGTCTTTTGCTGGGTAGAACAATGTGATTTTCATACTTCTTCTATTCTGAGTTTGTCTGCAGGCCATGCAGGCAAAATTGAGCTATGTTTTCTACAAACAATATGGATAAGAAAATCTTTTTAGTGCAAAGTAACAAGTAAACACAATAGAAAGAAAAGTGTACAAAGAAGAAACTAGTGCAAAATCAAGAATCATCATGGCCTTACTCAAGACCTTGGTCACTCTTAGTTTCCCCCAAGTAGTTCGAGGAAAGAGCTAAAACATCATGTCTACTCTTTCAGATAAAAGAATCCAAGAGCCATATTTTTTCTTTCATTTCTACAAAGAGAGTCTCTGCCTCCAGTCAGAGTCTTGGAGAAGACTCAGTCACATATAGGAGGTCATTCACAATATTTCATAACACAGATAACTCCAATGACAAACTCTCATTAGATCCAGGTAGGGAGAATACATTATGATGGGGTCCATGTAGCTCTGGAAAATTTCGTTTCCAGATAACTGGAAGTCTTTTCTAAGTGCTATCACTTCCAACAGTTCCTTCCATGCCAATAATGCAAAGGAAGGAAGTTCATATGAGTCATAAATATCACAGACTTCTTTAAGGAATAACATTAAGTGATGGATGTCTCTTAGAATAAGAATTGCAGCTTCAGACAAGTGGACATTTCTCACTTGTTTTTGCCCATTGACTGTTACAGAAAACCTGGCTTGCTTCCTGTGGAAGATGCATTTTGGCAGACTAGAGCTGAATTCAATAGAGAAAGATTATAAGAGGGACAAAAAATGAAACACTTGAAGAAATACACCTCCATGCCCCTCATTAGATATGAACTAATATTATATATGTATTTGAGTAGAATTCACTGTAGAACTAGCCAAAAACTAATCTATCTAAAAGTCTAAATCATTGACATGAGGTTGTATTTGCAAAGGAGGCAAAAAAAGACCATGTTTAAAATGCTTTATAGTTTTTTATTTGATATCATTCAATCATACAATTTTGTGGTAAATAGCATTTCCAGATCTTGAATTTGTCATAGAAATATGCCACAGGATTACTTTCTGATTTACTACCTCTAGACTCATATGAAAATATTCCATGATGAGATAAATGAATTTAATAGTGCTATTGATTATGAAAATAGAGAAACAGAAAATATTATTTATCAATATCAGAAAATATATATTTTTATTCCATTACTTTTGATATTAAACATAAACACTAAAATAGAAAAGTAGTCAAACTGGTTTTTCACATTGAATGTATTTTATCAATACTATAGTTTTCATTCTTGAATAATGAAGTACATGACTCAGCACTATATAATTTGGGCTTTGTTTGAACATTAATTACTATAATCATGAAGGTTACTATTAAAAGCAGAGAGCAGATCAGAGCACAGGAAGACTGGCATTAACCAGAGCTCCATCTTAACATCTTATTTCACTAGGAATATGGTTTAAATATTTAAAGAAGAATGTTGTGTGGTCCATTGGTGAGCAGTTTGGACAGCTATCTCAGGGATAAGTAGTAAATAGTATTTACTTCATAAATATTCTCATTTTTAGCATCCAGTACCAAAAAGAAGCCATTTTGGTGAAGGGGACCTTAATATAGTTCTACAAAACCTTTTTAAGCCTTTGTTTCCTGCCATACTAAATAATTATTTGATTTTTCTTCATTTGTATTTTACGGAGCTAATTACATTTTCTAGGAAACGGTATAAAAATTAAAGGTAATTTTTAATTATAAAATGTTTCCTTGGAAACACTATCTAGTATGCTAAGGTGTACTTTGTTCCAAAATACTTAATTTCACTTACAATGAAAAATTAAAGATGGAGCACTGCATAGAGCAATTTGGAAATTGTCACACTAATTGCCATGAAAAAGTTAATTTTTCACAATAGACAACTGGCGGTGAACATCCAATTAACTGCTACACAGTAATTTAACAGCCATCCTGAGAAAAGAATTATTTCATTTTATGACCAATAATTGGTCACTGGCACTACACATTTTTTATATTTAGAAATTATATATTTTTAATTCAGAAAGAACACAGTGATCACAATTTTAAAAGATCAGCATATGTAGGTGACATCAAAGTTCACAGCAACTGTCTTGCAAATCACCTTAACACACTGGTTTCACAGCTAAGGGTAAGCCTCTCTTTGGTTCATAAGGTGTTGTCCTGGAAACCATTTTGATGCAGTCGATAATAGGGCAGACACTGAGACAGAGAGTACAGCCTGTACACATGTCAGTAATGGTGGGCAGGTGGGTTTCTGGATCAAACTGGATAGCCTGTAAACAGAAATAAGGAGTATTAATGCTACTGCCCACCAAGGTCAAGAATGTCTCCATTTTAGCATCAACATTTTCCTCTACTGTAGTGGAACTGTACCCTGAGAAAACTAGTCTAGCACCTTAATGAAACTATAGCAACAGCTGAACCGGTGGGAAGAAAAAAAGAGAGAAACAAAATCCTTTTAAATTAAAAACACAATGTTTAAAATTCCTCAGAGGCATTTTCCTTCATTGTGTGTGGAAATGTTTCATAACACAGTAGCCCTCCTGTTTTCTTTGTTCTGCGCACAGCTCAGCTCTTGCCAGTCCTAGCAGCATAGGGTGTTCTCTAACCGAAGATGTTGGTGTGGTTTCACACATTCTCCTTTCTCTTCTCACACATTTTGAGGAAAACTGTTACTCTCAGATGGGGCAGTGAGCACATCTGATTGGATTTCAAATAATGTATGCAGTTTTTAGAAGAAAACAGTTGGCAAAAAGGAACTTCTTAAGTGGCACTTTGAGTTTTGAGTACTTTCCAGCCAATTTTAGCCATTGTGTCACCACGAAGAGGACAAAGCACTAAATGGAGGGACAGGACAGCTGGAGTCCAGTCCTAGTCCTGACACTCCTTAGCCTTGTGAACCAGGGCAAGGCCACCAGTTGTGAAACTGCGCAGGATTTTGGGAAATGTTTCCTTCCTTCCTTCCTTCCTTCCTTCCTTCCTTCCTTCCTTCCTTCCTTCCTTCCTTCCCTCCTTCCTTCCTTTCCTTCCTTCCTTTCTTCTCACCTGCCTTCCTGCTTCCCACATAAAGCAATCTAGAATAACCAATAAAGATAACCAGTGTGAAATGACAATTGAGATTTTTAAAAAATATATAACTTATAATGATTATGTATGTGTAAGAAGCATTTTAATAGCAGAAACAACACACAAATCCTCCATGGAAGATACAGACTTTTCTACCCAGAAAGGACTATGAGAGGGACAGGTGGGGGAGGCAGAGGGCACACAGCAAACTCATCCAGTCTCACTTGCAGAAAACACACCACACTCCCACTGAGACTGGGCACTAATTTGGAGTGTCTAGGTGGCAGCTGACAGAAATTAAGAGGTGCAATAAGTGTCTCAGCCCATTTTCTCCTTGAGGTCAAGTCTGAAAATGTTATATTTTCAAATAATTTGCTGACACGTGTTTTCCCATTTCATATTTGTGTTAAATCCAATTTAATATACACAGTCATCCCTCGGTACCCATTGGGGATTAACTGCAGGACCTCCTGTGGATCCATGAATGTTCAATTCCTTTATATCAAATAGCATAATATTTGCATTTAATTCATGCCTATCATTCCCAAATCATCTCTAGGTTACTTACAATAACTAATACAAAGAAAATGCTATGTGTAGTTGTTATACTGTATTTTTAGGGAATAACGACAAGAAAAATTCTGTTTGTGTTTAGTACAGATGGAATTTTTTTTCCTGAAGGTTTATGATCCAAGGATGATTGAATCTATGGATATGGAACTTGTGGACATGGAGAACTGAATGCATTTATTTTGTTGTTTAAAAAATTCTCAAACAAAGTTACATGTAATCATAATTCTTTTCTACTTTTATGGGCATAAAAGAGAAAATGGTCTTTCCAGAGTAAAGCAGAATGGGTTGCTTAATATACATTTTTGTTTTTTAAGAAAACAATCATATTTGAACAAGAAGTATATCTATAGCAAATTTTAAGATAATTTGTCCACAAGAATTGTTAAATTTGTAAAACATTTTAGATTGCTGATTAGATAAGTAAAAATAATTTTCTTTTTCGCATATCTTTACTTTGTAAGTGGAAATTCAATGAAGTTATCGATAAAAATGAAAGCACTTATGCTTAGAAACATTATATTGCCATAGTAAAGAATTTGAACTGGAGAACAGATATAAAATGATCATAATTCTAATCAAGAAAGACTATCCAGGAAGCAAAAATAAAGATATAGACAGGATCAAACTCAAGAAAAGGAAGTCAGGTTGACTATTGTGGGAATGAAGTTTTGGTGAACTTCGCACTTGAGCCAATCAAGGGTCTACCATAGAGCTACACAGGCACCCTGACTAGGACTTCAGTTAGGGTAATTTCAGTAGGTTTTGAAAAACTGAACTCAAAAATTCGCAAGATAAATTTAGGTTATGTAATTGAGAGGCCTTGTGTCCAATTACATGTGGAGTGAGCATAGGATGGCTGTTAGGGGGCTTCCAAGATTCCAGATATCATAAAAAAAGAGTAATAGGTTGTACAAGGAATTAAAAACTTGGGGAACTTTATCCTTGTCATTTTTCATAGCTTATTTAAAGTGCACACATTGTGAAATATTTTTTAGGGACTTTTTGATATCTCTGGTGTCTGACGATATTGATCTGGAATATCTCCCTCCAACCTTTTGTCCACAAATTCTTACTCATCCTTAAAGGTAGATCTCCAGATTCATCCATTTAGATTTGCAGGAGTTAAATGTTGAGTACTAGGCTTCATAAATTCTTATTTTCCCTCAAAATTCAATTGATATATCATATTCTAATTGATAATTCAATGATGGCAATGGTTGTGTTGAGTTATATGTAAGTTAATCAATAAGACCTGGATATAGGAGTTACACTATTAGATAAAGCATTTTATAATCTTTGCCAAATTACTAAATCTTGGTTTTCTTGTATATAGAAAGGAATGTTAGTTACAAAACCATTTGAGAAGATTAAAGACATAATTTGTGTAAATATATTAGGATTTTTCTCTAGCATACACTTATTCCTTTATGTATTTTCCCCTATAATAGTCCCTCTATTCCAAACTTCTGCTTCTTATTTTTTGTTTCATTATTTTTGGACAATAATATACTGCATACATTTCTATGAAAATTCTCCATTTTAGAAATTACTGGCAAACTGATGAATTAGCTTTGGGAAACACGTTATGTAATTTGTTGGAGCAGCTTTATTATCTGTGACCAGAACTGTCAAACCCACTATTGGGATCAGTATTGTAATTTCCACTGTAAAACATGGGACACATTGCAAAATACGTCACTTGTAAAATAAAAATATAAAAGCGATTATCCATTCATCAGGATAATGGTTTTTGGTGTGATTTTTTCATGAAAAGTTGATAGGTCATGAAGGACAAAAATATGATAAGGAAAGCACCATCCAGGACATCCTTGTCTACAACAGAAACAAATGCAGTGTCTCTGGTGACAGATATAAAGAAAGAGGGCTGGAGCCAAGGAATATGACAGAAAACTAGATGTGATTCATTACATGAAGGACTGTGATATAAAAAAGAAAAGCTTATGGAATATGTTGCAAAATTGTTTTCAATGTCACTTATCATGATGCTTATTAAGTATTTCTATTTAATTGACTCCATGTTATGAATATAAATCTGCAGCACCCTTCTTCATGTCTTTGTATTTTATAGGACATGCCAAGCTTTTGTAGGCTATTGTTGATACTTAGAAAAATATGTCTGAGATCATGGAGAAACTCACATCTAGATTTGGGATGTGAAGATCACTGGAAGAAAATGTATACTATCTTAACCACTATTCAAGATAAAGCAGCAATAACATTCATATTTAATTAATTAATCTTTTGAAAACAGTTTTAGGACATTAGCTTGTTCGTAAGAATTATTGTCACTAAAATGTAATTACAAAAGTTTTATATTAATTTTATGATTTTTCTGTTATAGTCATTTTCATTGTCATATAAAGACTTTAACATGGTATTCTAAAATTATAGTTCTGTGTAAATTAAAAAAAAATTATACTTCGAAGACTTGTAAACAAATTTTAAAATTAACTGAAGATTTGTACTTTTTAGGTTTTTTTTCTTTTAAGGCCAAAACGTCAAAGGAGGACTTTCCTAATCTTTTCTAATGCATAATTATGATTTTTTTTCATTAAAATGAACCTCATTGCCTAGGTTGTGCTAAAGCTAATCCCAAGGTGGGAGCTCTAAATTCTAAGACTTGAAGTATAGTATTAAAACCTCAACACATCATAGTTGTAAGATTTCACTTTTTAAAGATGAGATGCTTTGTTATTTAGGTAGAAAGCTCCATAAAGCTTTTATAATTTCTTGAAAAGATCTTATTTTTAGTTTTATACTTTTACATTTTTAATAAAATAACATTGTTCTATAGTTTTAACAGTTTTTAGCAGTTTAAAGTAAATTTGAAAATTTGAAAATTTGTTTTCTCTAAACTCCATATCTTAAAAAATCATTTTTACTTTCACAGCAAATCAGTTCCTTGAGGCAAAATTTATATTTAATGTCAATATTATAAGTTCCTTCTAAATTTATTTCAAAAATTCAACCAGTTCAAGGTCATAGCTGTGTCGACTCTAGGAAAACAGCAGTCTAATGAAGTAAATGTATAATGAAATAAATGAAGAAGCAAAAATCCAAGAGAAGTCCATATGACACATTTTGAAGAGGACGGCCCGCCCTGAAGGAGTGGAATCACTCCTTTCTGTTTTTTGCCCAATGCCAGAATCTTAGCTGAGGAGTGAGGATCTGGACTATAACTTACTTCATGTGGCAAAAATACATCTCATTGGCTTTTCCAGATATGAAGGCATTCCTGGGATACAATTCACAACCAGTTGGTAGGAAAGTGCTTTTTATTTTTTACTGTAGTAAAAGCCTGATTAATATAAAATGAAAGAGAATTCTCTAATCAAGTACTTTCAGAGTAATGGCAATAAATGGTAGTTCTCTTTTCCCTAGGTACTAAACATAATACTTTCCTAATACTCATAATTTTGTGTGAATATCTCTTTTCCCTGAGGCTTCTTCCTCCAATTTTATGAGTAATGAAATGATAGTAAAATAATACTATGGACCTAATAGTGGCACAAATAGTGTAAGTTATGGCTTTCCTAAAAAAAAAAAAATCTGTGCTATAAAGGTGAAAGAGGAGAAAAATGTACTTCTGAGAAGAAACAATACTTGTCACATCTGGTTTGAATCACACACTTAGCAACAGAAGATGCCTTCTGCCCCCAAAATCAGAAGAAAGCTGTTTCAAAGCATCTTAATTCCAGAAGATCTTTACCTGGTAGCCAGAGTCATTGCAGGTCATGTAGCATTTACCACAGTTGATACACATTTCTTCATCAATTGTAGCCACAACTTGCTCCATGGTGCTCAAATCACCAAATGCTCCAAGGTACTGCAGTGATTTTCCAATTACATCCTAATAGGCAGGCATTGAATTATTCCCAGTGGTTATTTTAAAATATTTCCATGTGGTAATTTGTTTCTATGAGTATTATTGTGAAATACAATGAGTGTTTAAACTAAAGAAAATTTATTACATTAAAAGGTAAATTATCCGAAGTTCCCTTTAAAATACACCTGCTTGCTGTCATGGTTACCTCAATGTCCTCAGTTGATTCAAAATATTTATCTTTCACAGTCATTTTGACTTTGAGCAGAGCCAGAAGTTGTACAGTGCCAGATCTGATGGATGAAGTGGATGAGGACACACAATGTTTTTACCAGCCTGCCTTTCCATTGGATAGCTCCTGAAGCAGGATTCACCATATTTTTTATCATACCTCATAAAGACACTTATGAAAAAGGAGTACCGGAACTGCTTCAGAGAGTGGCAAGAATGATGGGATAAGTGTGTTTAAAGTGTGTGTGGGGGGTATTTTGACAGGGATTAATGGCAATGCATCTTTCACTGTAATAATTTTTTTAAAAATTTAAACATTCATCATAAATTTTCATCACTCCTTGTATATAATGTTGCATTATGTTAACAAAAGAGACTCTGGGTATTATAATTTCATAGATAAACTCTCTATAATAATCATCGCCTAAGTATTTCTGAAATACAGGCAATATGTGTGCTTAGAAATATAAGACATAATTAATTGCTTTTGAGAGGATTTTTACCTAATAACTTAAAATGGAGTTTTCATGGACAGAAAGAAATACATAATACTCCTTTCAGTTGCAGCAGCTTACTTTTTCTTACTTTTAAACTTTGAAGTTTCCAAAAGGAAGCTAAAATGACAAAAGTTTATGCACTCCTATTAAGCTGCTAGGGATAAGTGGACTAATGATATGAATATTATGAATTTATATCAATGTATTTGGATTCTAAATTTTCATTCAGAAAGGTGCTTTGATATTACACTCACCTATCTTGTCTTGAAGAATATATTTCAATATTTGAAAATTCTAATTTATGTTAATGAATTGATTGATCTGATAGTTAAATCAGATAGATGCTCTTTTACTTTTAAAGAACTGGAATTTTCTTCCTTCACCACTGACGATCTTTCAGGCAGTTACACATCCCTTTGCTCTCCATATCAATTGGAAGTAAGCTGAATATGTGAAGCACAGAGGGTGTTTCATCAACAATATGAAACATTTTGTTTCGTGACACATTTTGTGAAGAATGTAACAATGTTTGTCAAATTTGTATGTTGTCGAGATTCTCTGCTTTTGTTTTTAACTTTTGAAATGAGAATCTTTTGTTTGAATTCAAGGTCCATGTTCCTTCCAAGAGGTATGACTCTCACTTAAAGCCATCTTCCTATATTCTCTTTGGTATTCTATTTTCTGCATTTCTTTTTATGACCTTGGTTACTCTTATTTACTTTTTTTCCTACTTGAGCTCTACATGACAATATCCTCCTTACCATGAGCTTTCAAACTGAGACACAGTTTACATTATTTATACCGGAGATAGAAAACTTCCAGCACTCTCTCCCCTACTTTCTTTTCCACGTGTCGAAGTTATAATTTCAGCTATTTGTAGGTGGGCACTTGATGTCCAAATGAGTTTCTGCATTCTGAGTTGCTCTCAGAAGCTCAAGGTTTACATTTATCAGCTGCAGGATGACTATTGTCACCGGAAATTGGTACTGTAAACTTCACCACTCACCGAACTCACCAAGAACACAAAGCTGGATTTTTTTTTTATATTTCTTCAGTTTTTTTTATTAGAATTAAGATTTTTCCTATCATGGAGACTTAAAATTTCAGAGTTATGTTTCACTGCAATTTCTCTCTGCTCCAATGTCTCAGGGGTTTTGGGGGGGGGTGGTTGGTACCGGGGATCGAACTCGGGTCCTTGCGCTTGAGAGGCAGGCAGCGGAACCACTGAGCTAAATCCCCGGCCCTTTGCTCCAATATCTCATCTGTTGTCACATTTTCTGAGTTCTGGACCTGCAATATCTTCTGAATTCTTTTTGTATGTCTACCACCATCTTCAAATTTTGTTCATTAACTTTCACCATTTTTAACACAGTTGTAAGATCGTGCTTGAGTAAATTTCATTCTCACATGCTTTTGTTTCCCACTCCAGCTTGAAGAATGGTCCCATTTTAATCGAGGTTATAACTTTCTCAGTGCTCTACTGAAAATTTGTGGAATTAAATACAGACTTACCATGTTGACATTTTAGGTTTCCTACCAAGACGTCCTTTATTTATCTTATTTTTTACTTCCAAACACTATGCACTTCAGTTACTGCTGGATAGATACACTTTTCCACTGATTCATCTGAAGGTGACCTGACCCAATTTTATTCTAAATCCTCTCTATAAAATACCCTTTCTTCCCACCTCCACTTTGAAAAATCTTATATATCTTTCAAAAATATATCAAATGTCACCACTTCATGATGATTTTCTCAATCCTTCCTTCTCCTTTTCTAACTAAATGTTAAGACGTGAGATCTTCCTCTCCCCCCCCACACACACCTCTTTCTTTCCTGATAGCCTATGATATTTTAGCTATTATGTGGAAGAAATGATTGATAACAGATACTTCTGAAATGTTTACTATATTCTAGGCCAGTGCCATAATTTTCCTCCTGAAATCTTATTCATTTTATGGATGATGAGGTGACTGCCCTATAAGATATAAAATTAGGTAAGTGATGAAGCAGGGGTTCAAACCAATGCTGCTTGATTTAAAAACCATGATCAGAAGAACTCTGCTATGCTGACTCATTCATTATTCTCTATTTAAAATATTTTGTTTCCTATTATAGATATCATCTACATCTAGTTCCTTGTGTTGTGATTTTTTAGTAGTCTCACCTTTGTATCATGTAGTGTTTTCTTGTTCCTGTAGGTCACTGAAACATATGGGCATTCAAATATTGGTTGAAATAAATACATCTCTTATATAGCTATGTATTAAACATAATAGTAGGGATATAGATAGGGTAGTAACTGTTTTACTGAACATTTTACATATAGAGGCTAGTCAAGGAATCTGGATATGTTTAATATTTTCTTATAATATTTTAAAATATCAAATGAATGAAGCAAATATATGGTTATGAAAGACTATGTATGACAGAAAATAATTTTTCAATCTAGTAAATACATAATTCAAAACTGTTGTTTTACTGAATCAGATTGTGATGACTGAAATAAACAATAAATATTAAAAGTGACTAATTAGAACCCTCCCTAGATAGACATAAAACTTATAGAGCTTTTGCAAAAGAACATATATGCCTCAGAGATTTTATTGTAAGAAATAATTCCATGTTCTGCATTTAACACATCATTGTTTAACGTGAAACCACATTTTATTCTTTTTAAGAAAAGGTCTTTGGAGCCTTTAGAAGTTATTAGCATATGGCATTAAAAATTCATTCCCCATTCACCATAATTCTTTAGGATAACTTTTTTTTAATCTGGAGAGGATAAAAGAATAACAAATATTTTAAATCAGTTTGGGAAAGACTACCAATGATAATAAGTTATCATTATATGTAATTGAAAATGTGGACATTTGTTTAAAACCCAAAGCCTGCAGGTATACTGCCAGCTTAGAATACCCCTGAGTACATGTCCTAGAATTTGAAGTTTGCTGAAAGATGCATATAATCAGTAAAGCACATATGGCCATCTAGTCCCTGTTGGATAAGCATTTGTAGAGATTAGAGATCATACAGTCATTATTCCACACAGGATTTGGATATACAAAGGTTGAGCAATCTGCTTTAGCCATCCCTGATTACTGGAAATGTTTATGTGTGGAAGTATGTACAGAGAATGTGATGTCAAATCCTTTAAATTAGCAATGACGCATTTTTTTTTTTCCCCTGGTACCAGGGATCGAGCTTAGGACCTTGTGCTTACAAGGCAGGCATGGTGCCACTGAGCTAAATCGCTGGCCCACACATTTGATTTTAATGTAAGTGTTGATAGAGGTAGAGTTACAGAGGACTATAGAATTGCGGAATAATATCTTTATCAATTATTTGTTTAGGATGATCAAAAGCTTTTTAATAAAGATATATCAGACACTATTTCTGTTTGATATAAAGTTTAGGACCAAACAATGAAGAACTAGAGGGACTTGACCCCATCTCTGATATTTCATACCTCTTTCATTATGATTAATATAAATTTATTAATTTTTGACCTATTTTTTAAATACATGGTTGAAGTATTTTCAAATTGCAGTTGTTATCTGGTACATTAACTGTTCTTTCTAGCTTTAAGTCTTCATATTTGATTAGCATAGTTTTTCCAATTCCTGGAAGTAGATGTCCTCCAAAGGCCAGGACCAAGTACAGCGTGCTGTGGGCCATCAATAAGACTTCTCACCTAAGGGATTCACTATTTAAATTATTTGGGTGTAGCTGTTTAATCACTTAGCTATTTCCGTATCTGTACCATTACCAGTGTCACATTTTCTTATCTTTTTACTCCATATTCGCTCCTTGCCTAATAAACCCATCAAAATAGGAAATGAGATAATTTGGTTCACTCTCACTGCATTTATGCTGATTCTTAATGCTTCCTTTATTAATGCTTCCAAGTCAAAAGTTTAATGATCTTTGTAGAATTCCTCAGGGGTTAGGTCTCAATCTTTTTGGTCTATTTCTATTTTTTCTCTAATATCATTATAAAATTCTTCCACATTCACCTTTAAAAAAAAAAGAACCTAGAGCCATATTTATTTCTCAGAAATGTGGTGTAATAATCTCATACACAAGTGCTTTCAAAATATAAGATGCTCTTATTCTTCAAGTATTGCATAATGCTTTCCTCTGTAGGAGGGAGGGAGGGAGCTGTACACTTAGAAAGGGGGCTGTTGAGCTTGGATTGAGTGTATCTCTGGTGAGGACTCAGTTAATTATGCTGAGATGGGAGGGAAGGGATAAATTATGAATCAGAAAATGAAGTAGTAGATTGGTCAGAAAGGGTC